ACTTTTTCTTAATTCAACACATTCAGTCAATTCGACATCTTCACCGAGAATTTCAATAATTTCAATAAATTAAGTCAATTCAATCAATTTACATATTATCAAAGGGACTTTGTCTTTATTCCATTTCTTTTTTACTTTTTGTTAACACGAGGTGATCCCGATTTCGTTTGACTTAAGCTAGACTCTCAAGAACCACCCCAAAATCCTTGAACGTGGTAAATATGAGTCACTCGAACAATCCACTTTGTTTTTAATGTCCATCTATAAACAACGGTGCACAATAAATCACTCTTAACTGGTAAGTTGACTTCAAGTGTATCGAAGTTCCTATTGTAGCTCCCGCAAGAACCATCAGCCATCACTAGTTGATGAAATACCGTCTATTCCTTGATCTACTCTCACACTGCCGTTTGAGAAAAGTAAAATACGACTTCAAAAGCTATTTGCAGAGTTGAGAATATAATTATCACTCGAGAAAAACCTCCCATGACCCACTTCATTAATAACTTAGAACTCACAATCATTGTGAGTGCGGCTCCAGGATTCTGAGATGCACTGGGCTGAATATGAATTATACTAGGCTTAAATATTAGAGTGGTAGGCTCAATGTGAAAAATGAAAAAATTTACACTAAAGAAATTTAAAAAAATCTCAGTTGCACTGGGCTCGAGCCTACCATAGCCCGTACATAGATCCTCCCCTGCCACAATGCGTCATATGAAGAAGATCAATAACTTAGAATGCCAAAGCAAGAATCCTTTTGGATGTCGAGGATTGAAGATGGACACTGCCACTCTGAACTTTTGCTCTAAGGTGGCTACTTAGGTAGCAACCGTAGCATGGATGTATGTTTTGATTTGCCAAGTTTTTAGACTTGGTGATTTTTTGACATGGATTAGATCAACAAAAAAGCTCTTTTCACCCCCACACTGTGTGGGAGTGGGGAGTTCTTTAGTAGATCTAGATTATGTAATGTAAAGTTTTTATGTGTGTTAATATATATTTACATTTCATCAAAAAAAGAAGATCATATAAGTGTGCTTTGGAATACTACACTTTTTCAAAAAGCAGTCGGCAAACGTCATTAAGGGTCTGTTTGCAACAGCTTCTACTTTTACAAAAGTGTTTTTTTTAATGAAATGGAGAGAAGTGATTAAATAAAAGTTGATAGTGTTTGAGAAAAAAGTGATTTTGAAAAGTAAAAGTGGCTAGTGTTTGGTAAAATAAGTGCTTTTTGTGTAATAGAAAAAGTAAAAGCACTTTTGACGCGGAAACCGAGAAAAATAAAAGTTGTAATGTTTCGGAAAATAAGTGCTTTTTAAAGGTTCTACGTTTGACAAACGCTGGTCAAAGCTCTATTCCTAATCAAGGGCATATACTCGGTCCGTCAAAGAAGAAATTCAGCCAATGGCCCACAAACATGGCTCTTATTATGGCAATCGTTACAATCTTGAATAGAATACCAACACGACGTTGTACTTGATCATTTGTCACCGCACCGCATTACCCGCCCTTTTGCGCCAATTTGGAATATTAAACGGTGCCACGCTCATCATTGCTCGGCGCCTAGAAGGCGTGGTGTAATGGTGTTGCCAATTATTATGCTTGTAATCTAAAAGGTGAAATTGTTTATAGTTTAATTGCGCACATGACATAAAAAGGTTAATTTCTAATAAATCATCAAAAGAATCTCATTCATAAAAAAATTATGATACAAATAACTTATTCCTTTTTAATACTTTTAGAGGCACTTTGGTAACATTAAAATTGGTTGTATCGGTTGATCTGCCGAAATTTATGAAGTTCTAGTTAAAGTGGTTGGATTGACTTATTCTGCTGATTTATGGGGAAAAAATACTTAAAATATTTTTTATTAATAACACAAAGAAAAAGTTATATGAAAAAGAATATTTAAAATATTTTTTATTATAAATAACACAAAGAAAAAGTTATATGAAAAAATAACTAAAATTATTCAATACAACCAGAAAAATAAATTCAGTCTTACTTTTTTTATGATTACATAATTCAACGTGTGAAATCAAAAGTTACGTGTTTGATGAAAAAGTTGACTGATAAGCCAAAAAAACAGGGTTACCAAACCAGCTCTTATAACCTCTATTTTGAAAGAACAATAATAATACCTTCATATCATTATAAACTTGAGTAATTATTTCAATTTGTCAATTTCATTGTTGAATCTCACCGATTATTTGCACTACAATTCATGGTCCAACTATTAGTTGTTCACTTAGAAAATTTGAATTCATGACTTTTGATGGAAAGGTTTTTTTTTGGAAGATGATGGCAAGGTTTAAATACCTCTCTTTTACCTAATTATGCAAGACGTTAGGAGTGTCACTTACAATGTACTACATTATACGGAGTATATTATAAAATTGTTGTTACTTTTACTTATTTTGTGTTCATGTACAATGAAAGTTCCTTCACGGATTATTTAGGATTAATTACCAAAGTATTCGTCAACTTTCAAATTCATTATTGTCGCATACTCTTTAAGAACAATTACCTAAGTTGCCTTTAGATCTCGTGTTTAGGGATTTAGACTACTGTGATTGTGGCTCAATTGGAAATGGAAGTTGACCAATATTCTCAAGACAATTTTGTGAACTAGGTGAGTCTAGGAGTACAAAAACACACACACACACACACACACACACACACACACACACACACACACACACACATATATATATATATATATATATATGTATATATAGAACTTAAATATATTAGAATATTAGATTGGTTGAACTACCTTAAACAACATTACATATTGGCTGTGTTTGTTTTCTAGCGGATTGAGGTCTATCCGCTGCAAAATGCAACGGTTTAGAGTTCAAAAGAGTCGGAGGAGTCATTATCTTCCACCATCAGCAACAAGTCATCATCGGATACCTCTGCCCGCTGCCACCATATCAACAATGTTGGTCACACGCCATCCAATCACCGGTTCTCATGGTCAAAATCCCTAGCAGCCACCATTAAACCCTAAAATGATGAAACTCTAGACTCTAAATGTTAATCTATGTTAATCTCGAAACTAAAGAAACTCTAGACCCTAAATTTTAATCCCAAAACTAAATCCTAACGGCGAACTTCGACAGTATCAGATGTAGAACTTCTTTGGACTAATAACACATACATCTTTTATTTGACACCCACCATATGTGAGGATTCATGTAATTTCTGCAATCATAGGTTAGAATGTTAGTTTAGCATAAGAAAAATAAACGAAGGACATTTTCAAAATAAAAGAAAATCAGAACTTGTAACCTTTCAAGTCATAGATTGATAGCAAAATGGACCCAAATTGACAATTTTCATTGACACTTTGCCAGGATTGATATCCCCAAAGCTCAATTGATTGATAATCTTCTTTCCGATCTTAACTTTGGCACAATTCTAAACTGAAAATGAAATGCAAAATTGGCCATTTACTGCAATTTTCTGTGTTCCTCATCTTTTTATTTATAACTTAAAGCTTCAAAGACTCCAAAGAAGGAAAAAGGGAAAGGAAAAGAAAGAGGTAAAAATAGCAGTTTTGCTCCCACAAGATAATTCCCTTCCATCCACAGTCCAATTCATACCAGCCTCCTACCTCTTTACCATGGTTGTAGACAACTAAGAATAATTATTAACAGCTGGTACACAATTCTTTTCATGCCAAAAGCAGCTACTTCACCTCCTGCCTCTCATTCTTTATCTTTTCTTTCTTCAATTAAATAGAGACTTTCTTTCTAAAAAGCCCCTCACTTTTGTTTTCTTTTTTCTTGGTTTTAGTTTTAAATCATTTCCCCCCCATTACAAATGTCTAATCTCCTCCTTTTAGTGTCTGGGCTGGTTTGTAGAGAGCTTGGGCATGACCCAACAGCTTTGAAGCTCAACCATGCAGCCTCGAGCACACCATTTGGACTTTGGGGAGCTGAGTCAGATGACTCACTTCTTTCATCCAAATCTTGAATCAGTTCAAGACACTTCATCACCTCCTCCTGCAATGAGAAAATTGTGAGTTTTTCATAAAATTAAGGTAATATGTTTTAAACAATGCATTTCCAAGAAGTTATCGGTATAAGAATAAGACTCATCAATAAATGATAGAAGATTGATCCTACATAGAATGTTTCTAGTGATAACAGAGGGCTCCAAGAACCGGCGAGACAGTTGGTAATAGGGTTCAATTGAGCTACAATGGGACAATATTACCCGTGAGAGATTTGTTATCTTGAAACTCATTTTTCTTCTTTTCCCTTATTCCCGACTTCAATAAACAACAGAATAAATATTACCAAAAATTTCACCCCAGCAAACATGCATACCAAACATGACATTGAGTTTACCTTGTGTACATGTGAGAAACAAGGGACAGCCTTAATAATGTCTTCTCCGGGCACGCCTACAGTATCTGCAGAAACAAACGTAGCCACAGCTGCAGCAATTTGAGAAGGTCTGAATTCCAAGAATTCAATTCCTGCATTCGGTCCGAAAAAATAAAAAATTAATTCAGTGCAGTTGAAGATCCCGTTTGTTAAGGGCTTATTCAACATATATGATTAATCTGCTGGAAGGCATGAGGTGAAATCTGTGTCAATTAGGTAAGTCAAAAGCTATATATTTAGATCATAAGTAGAATAGTCCACTTTTGGCTACGAAACACTATTTAGTCCTCAGGCAACAGAAAAGCAAGCACCTTTAGTTGTGCCTGAGATGATCTGCATTGATCTAGAAATCAAGGGTGATGATGGGATTTTGTCATCACCATTAATCTTTCTCAGGAAATGGTCAATGAAAGTCAATGGAGTGTATGATTGCATTCTCCACTCCAAAGTGCTCAACAAAAGGAGTTCCATTCTTTGTATGGTTTTACCATCAAACATACTTCTGGGTTCCCCAACCTATACACAAATTAGTTAACAGCACAATCAAATGATTCAGATCCAAACATATCATTCGCTAGGCAGGGATGTAAATCTTTGTTTAACCTGTAAATCAACCGCTGAAGGAACAGAGATTTCCTCCACTTTAGCAGCTATTGATAAACAAGCCAAAGATAACAGCTGGACTGCCCATTTTTGGTTGTTCTATGGTTTCCAATAAAAACAACATTCACCACAAAAACAAGTCAAGGCAATCAGCATATGTCCACAATATGAAACCCCCAACAAACTTCTATAGATCAAAAAGTAAAGAGATAAAACTACTAGGTTCTTCAGGGAGGAACTTACTGGCATTTCATACATGGAGAGAAAACGATCCAAATAATTGATTGACAAACAAAAACTAAAATCTCCAAATCCATAATGCCTGTGAGCCTGTAAATCATTTAACATAAGGAGTAATAAAATTACTTTATAGGATCTTCAAATAATGCGAGTACACGCACAACAAAATATGTGCAGATAAACAAACCAAAGAGCATAAGAATAAAATAAAATTGATGTACTAAATGAACAATAACTGGAGCAAAAAGAAGAATCTATTCAAATCACCTTCCAAATCCAGTCAACCGCATCTCTTCTCAAAGTCAAATCCAAGTCTCCACATCTCAATCTTTTAAGATAATCTTGTCTAGGCATATACTGAATCTCCTTTTCCACCATTAAACGAAAGCTTTCCTCACATAGACTTGGCAAATCAATCAATGGCTGTAACCTTCCAGTGTCAAAGATGAAGCCTTCATAACCATCGGTTTCTTGGGTTACCTCATCCGTTGCCGGAGAGCCAAGATCAATGAAACACAGACTGTTCGTCTCTTCACATAGTAAGGTTGAGCCTACCCAGTCATAGTTGTTGTCGGCCATTAAATCCCCTAAAACTTACAAAGAATTCCCAGATAATGCCTCTTTCAACGTGCTCTATCTCAAAATCCCATTTTTGCAACAAAAATTAATTTCATCCTGGGGTGTCAAACTTTTCTCCTTTGAAGGATAGCTCAGAGAGGAAAAGAGAGAGCGATGTGTGGTAAAACTGTTCAGGGAAGAGGAGCTTTATGTAAGAACTGTACAGCAAAGTTGGATGGGGGGTTTATGAGAGGAAAAAATGGGTTTTGAGAAATTATGATATCATAAATATTACTCCATATGATATCATTAATATTTATGCACAAACCACACAAGGAAAAGTGAGAATTCCCCAAAAAAAAATTAATCATTCATATTTTATTTTATTCGAAAAAATTCATACAAGTAGAGCATTTATAAGTGGAGAAATTCATATAATTTCATTAATAGTGATAACAATGTCATGAGTGTCAAATAACTGTTGACATCAAATTCCGGTAATTTTAAACAATTTTAAAGCACAGAGAAACTTTCTAGAATTCTGGTGGTAGTCACCCGCGATTAATGGTGGTTTTAATGTTTTCGGTTTTTTTCTTAAAAACAATTCTTGTGGTAGACGCCAATAGCGGCCAGGGCAGTTGAGGGTAAGCTTGTCTCCAATTTCATCTTTTAGAACCGGAATTGGAATCCGTGTAGGTTGGACATTTGGAACCCCAAATTCTAAGTACGGGTTCAATTTTAGTGATAATTGAATTAGTCACCTTTTTAGGTGATTCAATAACTTCAATAAATGAATTTGTGATGATCGACGAGATGAGGCGGCACACCATCCCTAGTATTAGTGGGCTAGCAACATCAAAATTGGCAAAGTGTGTGGTGACATGGGGCACAAATACGCCATTGATGGTTTAAAGTGCCACACATAGACCACCTTATTAATTAGTACTCAATGGAGAGAGATGTGTTTCATTGCATCACAAATCTACATAACTATGAGTTTTTCTACTATTGCCCTGTTAGTAAAAAGTAGTATGTTTATGTCATCCCATAAATTTTCCCTAGAAGAGTGAGACAAAATACTATATTACAAAAATAAAGCAAAATCCATCTACTGTTATATCTCATGAATTATCAACCAAGTATCACAAACAAAACACTTTCTTTGTACACAGTTACGCATTGGTGCAGAATGGTGATGTCCCATATACTTCAGGGATATCATCAATAGTCACAGATAAAGAACCTCCAGAGGTACCAAGTCATTATTCAGTCGAAGCCGAGATCCACCTCAGTCGAGGTCAGTCCAAACATTCGCCAAGCAAAACAGTGAACTGAGGTTGCTCACGCCCAAACAAACACATTGTACCCGAGCTCGACCTCATATGCTGAGCTCGGGGCCTCATAAGGGATTGTGGACTTAGACATTTCAGCCCCAAATTCCATGTACATGCACATACACGCACGTGTGTGGACCTCATTGGAAACACATGTTCGGGATTTTGGGCCTCATTAGCACCAAATTATGCAATGAGGGATTGTGGACCTCATTCGCATGCACTTGCATTCTGGTACGCAAAGAACAATTTTATTGCACACAGTACCAATCGGCCAGCGATATCCAAGTTATCTCTCCAATCAACTTTACGCGTGTCACCGCATGATTAGATTAGTACTCCGTATATTTCTACTTGTTAGCCAAGTAATTCACCATAACAGAATGACATATTTTTACTTGTTGGCCAAGTATTTCATTCTGTAGTTGAAATATCACCTTCCAGCTTGTGGAGAGGGATCTGAATTTTCTTGCCAAAGCTTATTGTTACTTTGCCAGAATTTCTATTCACTTACTTAGCACTTTTTAGCCTCTCTATAACCAGATTCCACCTCCCCCAAGGTCTTTACTTAGCACTTTTTAGTCTCTCTATTACCGGATTCCACCTACCCCAGGGTCGGATATCCATTAAATGGTACACATTTTCTATTTTTTGAGCTCCGTGTTTTCTAAAACTCTATTGCTCGTTATCCATTTTCTAATTATTAGAATGTGTGATGACCAAGGACGGGTCAGCAGCTATAAAGGTGAAAAGTGGAAGAAATGAGCAGTTGGTGACTCAAACTAAATGTGGATGCAGCGGTTCATGTGAAGATCAAAACATAAACATGGGGTTGGCTGCTCAAAAATGAAGATGATCACTTAATTCAGGTTCATATGGATTTAGAATGAGCAACCTGGAAAACACAAGAGATAGAAGCATGGGGTGCAAGAAGGGGTAAGCTAGTTCAAGGAAGAAGGCTAATCAAAGGTTATAGTTGCGCTTGTTACTGCCTTAGTGGTGGTCAACATATCAGTATCAGAGGAGTCTGCCTCATCTTAGGGTGCTATCATTATAGATGTCCCATGGAAGTTTTTAGTTTAGTATCACTTTGGGTAGTCATTCTTAGAATCGTGTCGCTCATGCTCTAGTAACATTTCCTCATGAGCCCACAAGGATAGCTATTCAGATCTATCAGACTTTGTGGCAATCCAATGGACTAACATTGTTTGGACTTTGGATTAATTCAAGGTGATCAATTTTTTTATTTAAAGAATGTGTGGTGATGTGATTATATGTGATTGTCGGTAGCGGCACTAACAAAAGTGCACCTTCTTTTAAAAACCTTATATACTAATTAAGAATTATGCAGCTAAGCATGCTTGTACAAGAGTAGATTTAGGATGAGTGACCCCCTAGGAAGTTTCTTAGGACACATACGAGTGAGGATAAAGTGCGCGGTAAAAGCTCGTGTTAGTTTGTGAGGGCAGTATTAGGTTTGAAGAGCATGTAGGAGTAATGGTCTTAGATATTGTGGGGTCGAGGTGTTACACAGTATTTGTTGACAGCATTGATTGATGGCAACTATGATAGTAGCGATTAACAATGGCATAGACTGAGAGAGAGAGACGTATGGGTGAGCGTTGATGGCAACAATGGGATATTATTGTTAACATTAAGAGAAAAATGTATTCTATTTTTTAGAGAAATGTAAAATATACACGATTCTTTAACATAACATGACATAACATGACATCACATGACATGACATGACATGACATGACATGACATGACATGACATGACATGACATGACATGACATGACATAACATAATATAATATAATATAATATAATATAATATAATATAATATAGTAGTCCCTCCGTCCCTAAATAAACTTTCAACTTTCCTTTTTCGTCCGTCCCAATTAAAACTTCCACTTTCCCTTTTTGGTCAGAATGTGTGGTTCACAACAATTCTTACACATTTCTCTCTCCTCTGCACAACTCTCCACCACATAATACCCACTATCTTAAACTGTGTGCCAAACCTATTTGGAAGTTTAATAAGGGACGAAGTACAATATAGTATTAGACAAAATTAATGACAAAATGGAATAAGGATTGCTTCCGGGTACTCGGATTTCGGGCTGATGAAGCTTAATCACCTGAAAATTATTTTATTGAGCAATGTTGGTCAATACTAGTACTAGGTTCTCACCGCCCTCAGGGCATAGATAACAATAATTTAGGTAACGAGACTGATCTCAAATGTGACAAGTTACTAAATTATTGCCAAAACTAACGAGCGCAGAACTCCATAATTGTTACTAATCTCTTAGCGAATGATTAAGTGTGTGTGAAAGTGTCCTACAATAAATTAGATCTCTTTTATTTTCTTTTATGTGCAATTATAATCATATCCTAGCCTCCTAGGTGCAATTCTAGGTTACAAAAGATATCAATTAAATTATTCAAACACAAATTAAATAAAGATCATGTAACTAAACCATCAAGAACTCAACCCTAGATGATGATTAATCCCATCACGAATCCCAAATTCCTAATTAAAACTACTCACAATTCATAATTAACAGATCAATAGAATTGAGAAGAAAATAATTAAGTCTCATTAATTAAAAAAAATGGAACTAGAAATAATCTCACGGTCTTGAATGTCAAAGTGGAAAACTAGTCAAAATTTCGTCCTTGGCCTCTCTATAAGCTCCGTAACCGAAAATAGGGGATTGCATGCTGTATATATATGAAGCATATTGCATGTTGAATATATAGGAAATATATGGGGCAGGTCCGCCCCGCCCACACAATGGGGCAGGTCCAGGTATTATTATTTATTCTTGGCGCCCCGTCCCGCCCTGCACAATATATAAGTATAAATATATTTTTTAATTATACTACAAATATACTTCTACAGAGTACTGCTCAGGTCCAGCCGGAGGGACGGGAGAAGCCGTCCGAACTTCACTGTTTGGGGCGGTTCCCGGTGGAATTTTTCGATGAATTGTTTTGAGCATGTTCCTCATCAAGTCTAGTTTGTCCATACCAAATTTCAGTTCAAAATTCGACCGGGAAGGCAGTCAAATAAATTCTTGAAACTTACTGCACTTTATATATGCGCAGAAAACTTACTGCACTTTATATATTCTCGAATTTTGAGCTAAAATTTGGTATGGAAAAACTAGACTTGATGAGGAACATGCTCAAAAAATTTCATCGAAAACTTCCACCGGGAACCGCCCCAAACAGTGAAGTTCGGACGGCTGCTCCCGTCCCTCTGGCTGGACCTGAGCATTTCTGTACTTCTACATACATATGTGTGTGTATAACAAATCATAAATTCTTTGCTCTTATAATGTATTAATATTTATATTTGAATGAGATGAACAACGAATTATCAATGTCTTTTTATATATACATTTTAATTTGTATATTCTATTATTAATATAAATAGATTAACTATTCAAGTCTAAGTACTTTTTTCTTAATTTTGAAATTTTTAGCCTATTGTGACTTTGATTTAATATATTATTTTTTAAATAATTATTTAGAGATAAAATTTATGTAGATTCAAGTGGTAACAACTTCACACAAATAGAAATGCATACTAGCTGATGGATTGTCTACCCGGGGGGTATCTTATCCGAGGGGTTATTGCGGGACTAACTAGAGAGAAGTCAGAGCAAATAGGAGGAGAGAGAGTCGATTTATTAAATGAACTCCAGATGTTCTGGTCCTTTACAACGGGGAAAGGGGTGCTATTTATAGTAGTAATAAATGCGATGAGGGGACACGTGTCAACGATCTGACGGCCGAAGGGTCACATCAACTGAGTGGCACCGGCAGTGGCATGTTCGTCGCATTAAATGCGGTGGGTGGATGTGACGCTGCATTAAATGCGGTGGTTGACTGTCTCCAAAGGGAATCTTTGATGATGATGGAGGTGTTGGCCGAAGGCTCCCCCTTCGGCCGAGGGTTCCTCGTAGTGGAAGTGAGGAG